TTGTGAGATGATTAACTACATTGAAAAATATTGTATGCAAGATTATGGTATATGATATAGTAAGACCATGATAGTTTATGTAAGTGGGATTTGACAAACTTGATATAACAGCAAAGGCAAGAAAGCAATAGGTTTTAGAATTTTGTGTGTAGCTTTTGAGAATCTAAACTTTCTTATATGTGGGACCTAAGACAAAGTAAGCAAACAAAGTTGAAATAGACTCATGAATACAGTGAAAAAACTGAGGTTGCCAGATCAGAGGGGGCCAGGGAGCTGATTAAAAAAAATGTAAGGGATTTTAGAAGTACAATTTGGCAGTAACAGAATAATCATGGGGATGTAAAGGCAATATAGTAAATAATCTAATCGTAACTATGTATGGAGCCAAGTGAGTACTAGAATTATTGGGGAAATTATTTTGTAAATTATATAATTTTCTAACTAGTATGCTGTACACCCAACACTACTACAAAATGATACGGAATGTCAATTGATACAGAATTAAAAAAAGATGAAACCTTAAAAAAAAAAGGGGGAATTCCAATTACCTTCAAATAAATCTTTTCCGGTCTTTTTTCCTTCAAGTCTTTTGTTTCCTTGAGGTATGTTATGAGATGAAAGATGTTTTACAGTCTCTTACCATATGCTACATACATATGGAAACCATGTAATTGCCTTTAAATAATAGCATTTTTGAGCAAAAGAGGAAGCCAAGAGCAGTTATATCATTGCTGAGAGGATGAGACCTTGGTTCTTATCTCTTCGAAGGAATGATTTCAGTCAAAACAAAATCCAGCAAAGCAAGCAATGACTTATTGGCTGCAGTAAAAGCACACGCAGGACAGTGAACCAAGGAAGAGCTTAGCATGGAAGGAGCAACAGGAGAGCCCAGGCTGGGCTGCTTTAGCTCCCTGAGGAGTCAGAGAAAAAGGCGGACCTTGGAGACAGGTGCAGGGGTTTAGCGTCGGACACGCTGTCACTGCCCTCCACTCCACTGAGACAAGTCTCCTGAGGTTCCTTAGAATAACGGAAAGGGAATGGTGCAGGTGTGCCCCCGCGAGAGGGCACATACTGCCTCTTTTGTGTTGTGGCTATTTATTTCTCTCTTCCAGGCCGGAATCTTAGGGGAGGTCTCCTGGAAGGTCTCAATAGACTGTTCATAGGCTTAGCCTGTGTGCTCTGTTAGGGTCGTGGTCTCCCCTGATTGGTGGGCTTGAGGGCAGGTGGTCCTTAGTCAAGGCAGCTGGTTCTGAGGTCAGCAATGGCATTGCTTGTCTGGGACTGGGGCTGACATACAATTGAGGACTAGATGTCACCTCTAGGGAGGAAAGGTCAGGGGGTCTAAAGCACATGAGCAGCAATATGCTAGGGGTGGGAAGTCACCCTGGGGCGAGACCCTTGTTTCCCTAGCTTTGCCCCTTGTTAGGGGCTTTCCGCCTGGCGACATTCTGTACCTGGGGCTTTCCGCCTGGCGACATTCTGTACCTGCTGTAAATTGTTCTTCCAGTTTGTTCAGCTATCTATCTCAGTTTTCCTATTCCACTTGTCTTGGCTTACTGACCTGTCTCAGTTATAATTACATAATATTTGAAACAGTTATTTATTGATTGGCAATTTCATTTCCTTAAATAAGCAGACATAGAAAATAGTTTATACAAAATTATTTTAAATAAAATTATTTTCAAAGAAAATGATTGCAACTTGATATCTATAAATCAAAGGGAAAATTTTGAACGTATTTTATTTTGATTATCTGAACATTACAAAATAATTTCAGCAGAAACTATGTTTAGTCATATTTATCTCTAATACTATTTTTTTCTGAAGATTGAGTATTTTTTATATGGTTTTATTATCTTAATTTTTCATAAAATCATCTATACCTTGTTCAAAATTGCATTTATTATTGATAGGTTTAAATTTATTGCTTTCAACTTTTTTCTAATTATGCCATTATTAATTGAAAAAAGTGTCACTGTACACATATTGAGGTTTCTGTTAATTTCTTGGGAAAATCTGCTAAATGGAAAGTATCCTCAATTCTATTTTTTGTATAAAATACATAGATCAAATATTTACATCAGATCCATATTTTTATTCTATTCAGAATTATTTGACACACATTTTCAAAAATAATCCTCACAAAACAAATGATCTCTAAATATATAATCCCTTTGAGTGTTGGCCAAACTTAGGTGTTGCAGTTATAGACCTTTTCTATTTAATTCCATTTTGTCCTAGCACATCAATGTATCCATGAAATATAGGTGCTCCTGGGGAGCAGGCCTAAGTCAGCAGGTGGTCTTCCCCTGAGGAGTCCCAGACTGCAAGAGGGCACAGGCCGGGCTGCGGGACGCACCCCCCCCCCCCCCCGCCAGTGCACAAATTTTTGTGCACCGGGCCTCTAGTTCATAAATAAGATGAGATAATATTTTAAAAAGTCATATTAAAAATATGAAAATGTTATATTTCTAGTGCTTTCTCAAACAGAGATTACATAAATTAGCCTTTATTCAAATTTACTTTGCTATTGAGTTTCACTTAACTGAGAAATTTGGAACTTACGTTTTGAAGTTATAGCTATTATGCTAGAAATAGTTTAATGATATATTGCAAATTTATATCAAGACTGCAAAGAATTAAAGGTTTAGATATAACAATTTAATTTGGAAGCTATTGATCCTTTAGAAAAAAAACCTATTCCTGATTTTTAAGAGACCTCAATATTAAGAAGGAGTATAAATAGGAACAATTAACCTTGAGGTCAATCTCAGTCATAATAAAAGTAAAATTAAGAATTAAAGTCTAATCTAACACTGTAATTGCAAATTTGAAAACATTATGTAAATTTTATGTATCCATTATAAAGTGATTTACTCTAATTCTATAATTTCATAAGGTTTATTGCAAAAAAATTAATGTATTTTTCAATAATTCATTGAATCATTAACATTCTCATTCTATATATGATCAGTTTCTGACTTTTTATCAAACTTTTTAAAATATCAGGTTGTTATAGGAAAAGTGATTGTCAAAAAATAAACTCCTCAGTCTTAGTTTAGGACTGACAGCTACAAAAAGCAATTTCAGCCCTGACTGGTTTGGCTCAGTGGATACAGTGTCGGCCTGCAGACTGAAGGGTCCCAGGTTCGATTCCGGTCAAGGGCATGTACCCTGATTGCGAGCACATCCCAAGTAGGGGGTGTGCAGGAGGCAGCTGATTGATGTTTCTCTCTCATCAATGTTTCTAACTCGCTATTCCTCTCACTTCCTCTCTGTAAAAAATCAATAAAATATATTTTTTTAAAAAATCAATTTCAGACGAGATCGGGCGACCAAAGGACTTGTATGCATGCATATAAGCATAACCAATGGACATAAGACACTGGGGGATTGGGGAGGCTAGGGGACTGCAAAAGCAATTTCAGTTTCAAGATTCAAGAAGGTTCATTTGCAATCCATGGTGGGATCTCTATACCCAAGATAATTTATAGACCACAGCATGGCATTGAGAAATAATTATATTTCAGGATGTGATAACCTCAGATATCATCGGACAGGTAACAAGTGGTTCAATCTAACTAGTGAAGAATATTGTAAGGCATTTCATTAGCAGTTTAAATCAGAGGGTAGGCAGAATATTTTTTAATTTAAAGTTGATTTCTCCTTCTCCAATTTGTGACTTCTAGCAGTGGGTAGAATTTAAGGATAATAGTATTTTGTCCATGGAAAGTAATGCTAGCAGGAGCTAAATCAGATATAACTTTTTTCATTTTTAATAATTGAACTTTAATCCTATTTTGAAATTCAATCCTGATCGAGGTTGGAAAAATAATCTCAGTCAATTCAACTCTAGCTCTAACCCCCTGCCATTTAGAAAATTGAACTATTCCTTGTTCTCATAAGTGTAATTTGTTAAGTAGTGTGGATAGTTAATCGCATTACATGAGCCAATAGGCACACTACACGTAAAATCAACTTTAAGGCTTAGCATTTATAAAATTTGTACTTAAAATTATGACAGCCCTAGCCCATTTTGCTCAGTGGTTAGAGTGGCAGCCTATGGACTAAAGGGCCATGGGTTCAATTTCAATCAAGGCTACCTTGGTTGCAGGCGCAGTTTTACTCTCAGGGCATTTGGG